TTTGGCCATTTATCTAGAATTATCTGAGGGAGAACCCCATTGAATACAACAGATACAATCATTCTGGTTATTAGAGAAATGTAAGAATCACTGTTACACATGCTGACATATTCAGAGAGAAGAGTACCAGTGTCTGCAATTTATTTTGAAATACATTTTTAAAAACCAGATAGATGAATGAATGGACAGAGGGATGAAAAATAAACAGGTGATAAGGCAAGTGCAGTTAAATGTTAATGGTGGAATCTAGTAAGTGGATATACATATATTCCCAGCAAAATTCTTTCAGCTTGGCTGTATATTTGAATTTTATTTTATTTTTTGAGATGGATCACACTGTTGCCCAGGCTGGAATGCAGTGCCAGGATCATAGTTCACTGTAGCCTTGACCCTCCCTCAAGCAACCCTCCCTCGTCAGCCTCTCAAGTAGTTGGGACCACAGGTGTGTGCCACCATACCTAGCTAATTAAAAAATAAAAACTCTTTTGTAGGGATGGGGTCTCAATTTGTTGCCCAGGCTGGTTTTGAATTCCTGGCTCAAGTGATCCTCCCACCTTGGCCTTCCAAAATACTGGGGTTATAGGCATCAGCCACCATGCCTGGCCACAAAATTTTTAAATAATAAAACAGGAAAAAAACCTGCCAACATTTTTTTTAACACAATGTAAACAAAACCTGCCAACATTTTTTAAGTGCTTTCCCTGTGTCTGGCACTTTGTATTAGTGATTTCATTTACTCCTCAGAAGAAGCCTGTGAGGTAGGTGTCATATTACTACTCCTATTTTACAGATAAGCAAACAGGCACAGAGAGGCTAAGGGACTTGCCCAGAGTCTTACAGTTAACAGTCTAGGCCAAACTAAGACTCAAATCCAGGTCTGTGTGTGTGCAAAGCCAGGGCCTTTAGTTGTGGGACAGAGAGAATTCAGCAGATGTTTCTCAGAGCCTCTGTTAAACACTACTGTTATAAAACTTGTAGAAGAAAACATAAGAAAATATTTTCATAACCCTTAGTCCAGGAAGAGTTCTCTAACATTACATGAAAAACACTATCAAAGAAAATAAATTGGACTTAATTAACATTAAGTTAAAAATCTTTACTAAGATAATGAAAGGGCAAGCCACATACTAGGAGAGGACACTTGAAATGCATATATTTGATAACAACCCTGTGGAATCCATAGGATGCTCTGCTCAGATCTCCCTTCTAGAGAGGATCTGCCTCAGCTTTCAAGCCAAGGCCACAAATTTCCTTGGGGCCACTTAGCCGATTGTAAGCACAGAGGTAATATAAGGTCTCACTATCTCTGTGCACAGTGTTAGAGCTCCCCACTGGATTGACTGAGAGTTCCTCAGAGATGTACTCCCATCCCATTCTCTTTTACCAAACTAACCTTCCTTCCCCCTTTGTTTCCACCAGTGTCAGACCAGCATCTTAAGATTTTTCCCTACCTGTAACTTTTTTCTTTCCCTTTTATCTTTCACAGATGTTACCCCCAATAAATCTCTTGCACTGCTAATTTCATATTGGCACCTGCTTCTCAAAAAATCCAACTGGTATACGCATATCCAGAATATATAAAGAATGTCTACAAATCAATAAGAAAAAGATAATCCAATTTTTTTAATGGGCAAAAGATTCAAAGAGTTACTCTGCAAAGGAGGATAGCCAAATGACAAACCTGTAAAAAGGTGTTCAACATCTCTAGTTATCAGGGAAATGTATATAAAAACCACAAGGAGGTACTGTTACACCTCCATCAGAATGGCTAAAGTTAAAAGGACAATATCAAATGTTAGTGAAACAAATTGAATTCTCTTCAGTTTTTTTGTGGGAGTATAATGTGGTACAACAACCTTGGAAACCTGACAGTGCCTACTAAAACTAACATGTATTTACCATGTGACCCAGAGTACTACTCTCAGGTGTATACCAAGAGAAATAAATGCTTATATCCACCAAAAGATGAACAATGTTTAAGGCACTTTTATTCTAATAATCCCCAAACTGGACACAATTCAAATATTCATCAACAGTAGAATGGATAAATAAAATGTGCTATATTTATACAAATGGATTTCTCCCCAATAATGAAAAAGAATGTACTATTGTCACACAGTATGGACATGACACATAAACACTGTGCTAAGTGAGAAAGTCATACTTAAACAAGTATACACTGTATGAATCCATTTATATCAAGTTCAAAAACAGATACAACTAATTATCGTCAAGGAGGCCAGAATATCCAGTGCCTTTTAGGGGTTGATATTGACTAGAAGCCCTGAGGCAGCCTTGTGAGTAGCTGGAAGTATTCTGCATCTTAATCTAGATGGTGGGTTAAAAGACTCTCTCCTTGATGGCACTCTAACGATGCTTCTCTGAGCCCTGTTCTCTACTAGGCCTGAGCCTTGGCCTGTAACTACTGCAGATTCTGAGCACAAATTATTTTATCCACGCCCCAAACTAAGAGTCCTAAACAAATACTAGCACGTTCCTAGAATGACGACTTCAGCCACCTTTAGTTGCTGCCTGGCAAAGCTTAAGCCTGACAAAATAACATTATGTTTGTTCCAGTTCTATGAGCCTATAGTGACCACAACGTTTGATTTTACTCTGAAACTGTTTTAACTGTATCCATTAAGTTTAATGATGGGTGTCTTGTTTTTTCAACAAAAAAAATCTCTTATGGAGCAATTTCACTTTTGACCCCTCACTCTTACTTTTTCATATTCTGAGATCACAGACCCAGAACACATCCATTTGCGAATCAGATTTGTTTGTTTCCTGGAGGATTTTGACTTTTCGACTGCTGCATCATTAAAAAAATAATTTTCATATGTTTAAGGTAAGTTCTTTAGTATCAAGAGTAACGGTTTTCTGCCTTTTCAGATCCGTGCCCACTGTTTCATAACATGTATTTGTAAATTCGTAATCTACCTTACATGAATATTTCCTTTTTTTTTTTTTTTGAGACGGAGTCTCACTCTGTTGCCTAGACTGGAGTGCAGCGGTGAGACCTCAGCTCACTGCAACCTCGGCCTTCGGGGTTCAAGCGATTCTCCTGCCTCAGCCTCCCAAGTAGCTGGGATTACAGGCGCATGCCACCACGCCTGGCTAATTTTTGTATTTTTAGTAGAGACAGGGTTTCACTATCTTGGCCAGGCTGGTCTCGAACTCCTGACCTCGTGATCCACCCACCTCAGCCTCCCAAAGTGCTGAGATTACAGGTGTGAGCCACCACGCTCGGCCTTACATGAATATTTTCATATGAATAATGTTCTAAGAGCAATATTAAGAAAAAGAAAGCAATTTATAGGAAAATAATATCGTCTTCAGTATGTAAATATTTGGGCATAACCACATTAAAAGACATAATGAGCCCAGATGCAACTCAAGCCTATAATCCCAACACTTTGGGAGGCTGAGGTGGGAGGACCGCTATGTTGCCCAGGAGTTCAAGAACAGCCTGGACAACATAGCAAGACCCCGTCTAAATGGGCGAGGTGTAGTCCTAGCTATTTGAGAGGCTGAGGAAGGAGGATAGCTATAGCCTGGGAGATGGAGGCTGCAGTGAGCTGTATTCATGCCAGTGGATTCCAGCCTTGGTGACAGAGTGAGACTGTCTCAAAAAACAAAAAAAAAGACATAATGAAGTGGGCAGATAGATGTTTACACCTGTACCTAGAATCAGTGTGAATGCAAGTGCTGCAAATGCAGAATACAATACTACTGTGTTGTATTCCCCTGCCCCAAGACAAGTCTGGATCCGTCGCCCAGGCCAGAGAGTGCAATGGTGAGATCTCGGCTCACTGCAACCTCCGCCTCCTGGGTTCTAGCGATTCTCCTGCCTCAGCCTCCTGAGTAGCTGGGATTACAGGCGCATGCCACCACGCCCAGCTAACTTTTGTATTTTTAGTAGAGACGGGTTTTCACTATGTTGCCCAGGCTGGTCTTGAACTCCTGACCTCAGGTAATCCACCCACCTCAGCCTCCCAAAGTGCTGGGATCATAGGTGTGAGCCACCACACCTGGCACACTGTGTTGTACTGATAGGCTAGCAGAGTTGCAATTTTCCAATTTTTAAAACATTTTTGAATAAACCAGTCTGCCCTCAATTTATACAATATTTGCATTCCTGGGAAATATAGTGTATATTAAACTATACAAAAATATTTTCTATTTACATATGAAAGTAGGTTGTGTTCTAGGCATACATTATTGTAATAGGTGTTTCACCTACATGTGAATGTTTGTGAGACATTGGAAGGTCATGAGGATGAGGGACAATTCTTGACTATGCTCTTTCCTATCTCAAGGACCCGCTGCCTGCTGTTCCCCCAGCTGGAATGTTCTTTCCCTCAATCTCCCTGTAAATGCCTCTTTCTTATACGGAGGACTCAGTTCAAATGTCACCTCCTCAGAATATTCCTCTCCCTCAGTCACTTTTCATTTGGCAGTTCCTTCAGAGAATTGAAATTGTAAATGTATTCCGTCTCTTTGAAATGTACATATTTTAAAAAGCTAAATAAGCCTCTTGCTAGTTTTACATCCTCAGAAGGTCTTTCCTGGGAGCCTTGGAGCCATCTCTCGGAACTGTGAACATCAAGGATGGTGCTCCACGTCTGTCTCTAGGAGGGTTTAAGTCTTCACTCTTGGCTCCAAGATATAATTTCCCATTATTTTCCATTGAATAAAGACAATTAACAGGTATGTAATGGATTGTGCCCTGACCATATGAAAGGGTGAGATTTCTTTTTTTTCTTTTTTTTTTTTTGGTCTTTGCACTCTCTTTCAGTAGACTGCCTGTGATGTGCATCACAATATGTTTTAGCACACACCCAATAAAACTGTCTCATTCTTTTGTTGTACATTGTGCATTTCATGGAAAGAATAGTTTGAGGTTGGCAGGATATTTTAAATTATTTCCCCACCTGGATCCTCCAGTTTAGGGCACTTGTATGTCAGGCTGATATTCCCCATTCCCTCTCTGTACCTACCTGCAGTAAAGGATAGCGGCAAGGGCACGGAACTTTGGAGTCAGACAACCCTGGCTTTTAACTGTGTCTTTTCTTTTACCAGCATTCTGAAGTACTGTATGTTGAAGTAATTCTCTGAACCCCAAATTCTTCAGCTATAAAATTAGGAATAATAAATGTCATAGATGAGGTATAGAAATTATCTGACCTATAGCAGGTACTATTCAAATGAAAGTAACGAAGTTATCCTAGGTCCTTTAATGGCCCTAAATGTTTGCTCCATTTCCCCTTTTCTTGGTATCTATGTGAAATCTCGGAATAAGGTGTCCACTTCACTAAACTTGAGTACACTGCGTAATGAGACAACCAACTCGAAGTGCAGACCTTTTGAGTTTAAACGGGTTTCAGCAGGTAAAATACATAAAGTTCACAGTGCCCTCGCAATTTAGGTAGACGAAAAAAAATCAGCCGGGGGGTGGGGTAGCTCCCCGTATGCAAATGTAGGAATTACAGAAGAAGACAGGCCCCCGCGCTACCGCACTTCCCCCTCCACAGTCCCGCGCGCTGGCGCGGGGGTGGAGATTTGCATGTGCGAAATCGGGAATAGGGGGAACCACCTCTCGAAAACCCCGGCCGTCGCCCTCCCGGGCTGCCAGGATCAGCCCCACTTGGCCGCCCGACGCGCCCCCAAAGGCTCCCGGGCGGCCGGCCCTCTCTACGTCACCCGCACCCTTCCGCCCGCTCCTGAACTTTAAACTACACTCGGAAGAACAACCTGGAGGAGGGGGATTTCTTAGGAGCCGGCGGCCTTCTCACGCTGCGAGCCGTCACCTCCCGGCGCCCACCGTTCCCTGCGCTCCCGAAGCTCCCTAGGTTCCCGCAGCCTCGACCCCCTGCCAAGACCACCACCACCACCACCGCCGCAGTGGCAGCAGCAGCTCTGGGGGCGTACGCGCGGAGGCGGGCAAAGAGCGTGAGCGTGCGCGGGGGGGGGGGGGCCGCGAGGACGCGACGCCCCGCCCCACGCCTCCGGGTGAAGGCGGCCGCGTCGGGTATACGTCAGCCGCGGGAAATTCCCTCCCGCCAAGCAGCCCGCCTCTCGGCCGGGCGGGGAATCGGTTCTCGCCCCGCTCCGCCCCCTGCCCCTGGCTCCCGCAAGGTGGACAGGCGACGCAGGGCGACCCGGAGCGCAGGAATTCAGGGGGTGGGAAGGTGTGATCCTCAAACCCAACCGAGGGCGGGAAGAAGGAGGAGGACCCTGGGGTGGTCGGGGGACTGGGGGCCCCACCGGCACAGGTCCCTCGGCCTCCTGATTGACTGACTGACGGACTGACTGCGGCCGCCTCCGGCCGGGACACTGGAAGCTGCCTGCGGGAAGGCGCGGGGAGCGGAGCCATGGCATCCGGTGAGTGTTACCGGGGGAAGGAGCTCTTCTGGGGATCCTGCCGCTGTGAGTTTAGGGAGCTTAGTTTTGGCTGGGGCGCGTTCTGTCTTTGAAATGTTATGTGATAAAATTGTCAGCTTTTTAAAAAGTCACCTGGTTCAGGGTTTGCGTCCGAAATCCAAGCCACGCTCTGTAATTTGATCCTGTTGTCATAAGCAAGAACCTTAGAAATTGCCAACGACTTTAGGATTAGGGAAGTCATAATCGAACTAAAGGAGTACGAGGAGTTCCCATACTTAAAAATGGGTATGTATTGAAGTGGTGGTTTTATGTTTTAGAACAAGAATGAGGAACCTTCAGACCTCGGGCAAGCTCTCTCCCCCTTTTTAGTTTAATTTCATCAGATGCAAAGAGGTGATCCCCCTTGTACTGACAGTTGTACAAAATGTGGCGCGGCTTTAAAAATCATCCGTGGTATTTTAACACGGATTTAAAAATCCGTGGTATTTTAAGTTTTAATGTTGCTTCGACCAACTGTGGGCCGGACACGGTGGCTCATGTCTGTAATCCAAGCACTTTGGGAGGCCGAGGCGAGCGGCTCACCTGAGGTCGGGAGTTCGAGACCACCCTGGGCAACATGGTGAAACCCCGTCTCTAATAAAAATACAAAAATTAGCCCGTAGTGGTGGCGCACGCCTGTGATCCCAGTTATTCGGGAGGCTGAAGCAGGAGAATCGCTAGAACCCGGGAGGTGGAGGTTGCAGTGAGCCGAGATCGCGGCCCTGCACTAAAGCCTGGGGGACCAAGCGAGACTGTATTTAAAAGAAAAAAAAATGTGAAGTTTTTATTGTGAGATAAAGCACAAGGTTTCTAATCTGACGAATAGAGACGTTGAGTCCCCGCTCCTCCCGGCTAAAAATAAGGGAAAAGGGAGTTTTAGAACATCGTGCTTTTAAATAGTAAGTAGGATTGAATACAGCTTTATTACTTTTAAATATATAATTTCCCTTAATAAATGCTCGAATCTCTTCCTTCCTCTCTCTCTTATACATAAGTTTATAAGAAACATTGCAAGGCAAGGAAGAGTCTCGTGTATACACAGACATGGTTTGGGGCTGCCTGTAGTTTAAGGTTAGGGGCGTAGGGGAGCCGGAGCTGGGGCCGGGAGATAAATCAAGTAACCTGGGTTCGATTTGGACTTTTACCAGGATTTTGGCAAGGTGAGTGGGGAGCGCTTTCCAGACAGAGGAAGCAGCGTGAGCAGAGGCAGGAAGGGCTAAACACATATATTAAATGCTGTACTAAGAGAATGAAGAGGGGGCCCCGTTTCTGAACTTGACTCCCATCCTCAAACTGCCTGGTTCAGTGACTCTTAGAAGAAAGCCGATGTCTAGTAGAGAAGAGGAAGTCGAAGCTTAAAGAATCTCTTTAAAAGGTTGAGCAAAACAATGCTGTAGCTATTGCTGTAGGCAGAAAAGGAAATTGGGGTGTTTCACTTGACATTTGATTTCAGTTTGTGGTTGTGAGAATACAAGTGTAGTTTAAAATATTTCAACTTTCCCTTTACGTGCTTAAGTGACCCCAAACTTTCAGATAATTCTGTACGTTTGTGAATTCAAAGCATGTGTAGATTGTAAGTGCTAACTAAGATGACTTCAAATATTTTGTTAATTTATTGGTTATCAGAAAGATTTTGTTTGGAAGTAATGAAGAATACCTAACGTAAGTAAGAAAGTTCAGCCTTCTGGCGATTTAATCAAACATTACTAATATATTGCATGAATGTAATACTTCTAATTTTTTCAAATGCGAGAGAAAACAACCATTTCTATATAGACTATTCTAAGATTCACAGGATTTTAAAATGTGTTACAATTTAAATTTGTTCATTGACACTGTATTTTGTGCTGTTGTGAGGACCAAGGATTCCCTAAATGTAAGGAGGAAATGTTTAAAGAAATGGAAAGTTTTAAAGGTTTGGAAGTTGAAGGGTGATTTAACTTTTTGTTTTTTGGTCTTTTCTGAATAGTTGCATTAAAATGGGACTATTTAAAATGTAACAAGTTATTTAAACTGTAATTCAGTTATTAGAAAACTGTCAGGCCTGGAATTTAAAAAAATGATTAAACGAATCTGTGTACTTTTCCTTAATCTGTTATATAAAGACCTTAGAGATAGAAAAAGATTCGCTAATGAAATTCTAAATTCCCATTCTGTTTTGAAACAGTAATTTAACCGGAAGAGTGACCAAAAAAAATTGCTTAGTTTTTCATTGCCTAATTTAGATTCTGTTGGTAGTAAGGTAGCATTAAAACTCAAAAAGTACTTTTATTCATTACAAAGCGTTTAAGAATATTTCTTCATTTCTCACGAGATATCATATATGAATAGGTATATGTAGTTGAATATGTGATATCTATAATGTAAAAGTAACAGAAATCATAATCTAAGCAAAATTATATAATTTAGAATATAGTTTAGAATCATGTATATACATATGATTCTAAATTTTGTTTAGATAAGTTAGCAGATTATTTAGGATTTCACATCGTGTATTAAGCTGCTTTTTGTTGCTTTTTTTAAAAAATTATACCTTGATTACAGTCTTTTGACATAATTAATAATAGACATAGTGAAGAAAAATGTTCCCAAACACATCTAAGGTATGCATAGTAGGCAGTCATAACTTTTGTATATTTATGATTCTGTTTTGTTTACTATAAGTAGAGTTAGATATTTTATGTCTGAATTTAAACCTTCTTATTGTTCCAGTAAAAAAAGCAAAATGTCTTTGTGTGGCATATAGCTCTGTTAACTAATAATTAGTGTTGTCTTTGGTAACACTAATTTTAATGTTTTAAAATTTAGATAATTTATTTTTATTCATGTTTTTCTTTAGTATGGTTCTTCTGTGTCACACAATAGGAAGTACAGGAATGAACTGTTTTTGTGAATCTTACTACTCACCAACTGTTTGTAGTGTGAATTTCAAGAGAACTGTTTGTTGTTTTTTTTTTTCTTGAGAAGGGGGGGGAAATAGAAGTTAGTATGATGCAACTTAATCTTTAATAACAGAGCTGGAAGTTAGGAATGGATAGCTACAGCAAATGACTTCTTTTTTTAAGTACAAGGCCACATATTAGCATGAATGCTTCAGAAATGCCACACATGAAAAAATAGAAATAACAGTGGTGTTAAATAATTAAGGTGATATATGATAGGCACAGATAAAGGGAATGAGTTAATCTAATGACAAGGGAGGGGGCCAGACAATGAATCATACATAATTGGGAACATCTAGGTTATGCATAGTATCTTTCTCAGATACAATTTAAGGAACTCAGAATTTCCTTTTGTTCCAACTTTTTCTCATCTGGGTTCTCTGAAAATGATTTTCTTTGTAGGCACATGACCCAAATATTGCATGGGATAAAATTGTTTTTCTAAAATTCATGTTTCTGGGCCTCTTGTATTTTCATTTTTAAAAGAGAGGTGATTTGGTCTTGTCATTTGTTTTAACTTTAATACCTGTATAATCTAGGACAGATTTTAAAGTTTCTTTATTTTCCTTGGCATGTGAAAGAGTTTTTTCAAGACTTACCTTTTCCCCCACATGGTAACAGAATCCCTATTACCAGAATCTTTTATAGTTTTTACCTTGTGTGTGTACATCAGTTGAATACACATCTGAATACTTTGATTCTTAAGGCCCGATTCAAAGTCAGCCTGATGTTTTGGAGTAATAAAGTCAGCCTGATATATTGGAATAGACTTTGGCTCATGAGAGACCTGGTTTGAGGAAAACGAATAGTTCTTATTTTCTTTTTCTCCAAATTGAGTAGAGGTGATATTTGGAAAATATATGTTGTTAACTCCATTTTCTCCTTGAGGTCTCAGGCAAAGTCTGTCACCCAGGAACTTTATGAGAGATATGCAGTCTAGTCAGCTGTTCTCAACTGTGGTGTTGACACACTGGTGTGTCAATCATTTGTGTGATGTGTTAAGATATTTATTTTGTAAATTATTTACTTTTTAAATAAATGAGAGCATTTGAAGGCTATCTCTGTAGTGTCATTTTTCTTGCTTGCGTTTGAATAAGATTCTTTTTCGAGTGGGAGAGAAAAAGTTACAAGTAGCCAGAATTGCTTTGCCTAATTTATCCATGTCCCAGTCCATACTTGTACCTGAATTTTTAGATTGCTTCTCTAGATATGTGCATTGGGTTGTTTCCACTTCGTGTTTAAAGCAATTGTTCTTAATCAGGAGTATGTTAGAATTTCTTGGAAGGCTTTTTCAGAAAAATGTATATGGGCTTTAAAAACCTTGAAGATTTCTGTTTCTCTTAAACACCTCAAGTGGTGTAAGAATGTGCATGTTTTGAAAAAACTACCTAGCTGATTCTGATGTAAATCCCCAATATAAACTCTGTTGAAGGGATTTCTTTGGATCTAAATACTCATTTGACTATACCAGGATGCATTATCTTCTTAAATTAAGTTGCATTTATTTTAGGTTGCAGGTTATGTGCTGTGTCAGTTATTGTGACTTTACCTCCAGTTGCTTTAATGATTGATTTTTAAAATTTGGCACTCCCATATTAGCATGCCATTCATAATTTGTTTTTCTTATAACTTCACGTAATTTTCAACTTTAGTTTCATCATCTGTAAGATGGGATAAAAATTTCTATTTTTTTTAAATGGAGATTAAAGAGGATCAAATGCGAAACGTGTATTAAAGGGGTATTAAAATAGTGTTATAATTATAATAATTAACTTTTTTCTGTATGCTTGATGCTGGTTGCTAATTCTAGCAATAAGATGTTAGTAACATGTCTATTTCTGATAATTTATGATCCATTTAAACGTTTATTTTAATGTCATTAATTTTTTTATCTTAAAAAGTTATGCTTTATTAGATAGGCACTATGTTTTAAAATAGCATTCTTTTTTTGCCTAAGTGTAAATAAAAGCCTAAATATATCTTAGAAACATTTTGGCTATATTTCAGATGTTATTCTGGTGTATATTAGCCTTTTAAAAGACTGTTTAGAATATGGGGATCAGTCCCAGCTTTGCATGGTATCGCTTAAAGAAAAATACAGTAATCAACTTGTTTAGAGCCAATTTTGAAGACGTTTTGGTGCTTTTCAAAACTGGCGATTTGAGGTTATCTTAGTTAAAAGCACTCATTTTCCCTACAATTCCCTGATTTGTATTTTACCGTCTTCCACTCCATAGATGACTACATTTCAGCACATTTTATATTCAGGAGGAATGGCACTGCACAAAGCACAGTATTGAGGAAGGAAATAACTGGTGAATTGTACTGATGCATTATATAAATGATTTATAGTTGGGAAGTTTTTAAAAAATCATAAACTTAGATAAGTAGAAATATGAATCAGAGTATGAGAAAATACTGAGGTATAGCAATCCTGGTACCTACAAAGCACTATTTATTTTTCTTAGAAATCTAATTTAAAATACTGAATAATCAGTTATTTGATTATTTAACATTTGAATAACTTGTATAAACAAAAGATCTTAAGACTTTTTAGTCATTCAGTAGTTGTTCAATTAATATCTGTGTACAAGGCACTGATGAGTAAGCCACGATTTCTGCCTTCAAGTAGCTTGAAGAAATAAAACAAATAGCTTTATTTCAAGAAGAAATAAGACAGTAGGTTTTCCCTAAGAGTTATTTGGAATAATTGCTATAAACAGAATACTATAGTAGTTTAAAGGACAGGAGATTATTTCCAGCTAGGGAATATAGAGTATTGCAATATACTCTGTTACTTGGTTGTAACCCCAGCTTGTTGATTTTTACCAATTAAGAGCTTCTGCAATAGGAAAAATAAATTTCAAGGATTTTAAGTACTCAATATTATATGATAACTGATATTTATGTAAATTTTACTGTTTAAAAATGTTTAATCTTTTCAACAACTACTTTTATTTTTATAGACTTTTTCATAAACAATCTAAATAAGTGTCATGTAACCAATGAAGTTTTTTTTGTTTTTGGTTTTGGTTTTTTGAGGCTGGAGTACAATGGCTCAATCTCAGCTCACTACAACCTCTACCTCCTGGATTCAAGCAGTTCTACTTACTCAGCCTCCCAAGTAGCTGGGATTACAGGCACTTGCTACCATACTCAGCTAATTTTTTGTATTTTTAGTAGAGAGAGGGGTTTTGCCATGTTGACCAGGCTGGTCTGGAACTTCTGACCTCAGGTGATTCAACCACCTCGGCCTCCCAAAGTGCTGGGATTACAGATATGAGCCACAGTGCCTGGCCTCAATGAAATCTTTGAATGTTCACTATGAACCTAGCATTTTTATTCACACTCCCTCCTCCCAAAGTTAACCACTTAATCATTAACGATGTCATTTTATATCACTTTCCCACCAGGACACCTTTAAATAAGTAGCGGGCAGGGATTTATTTGACCTTTACTTCAGCCACATAAATTATTTAAAATGTCACTTAAAAAATGTTAATTTTAACAGTTTGTAAGGGGAAAATGTACTTTTTCTTAAATACCCCTACAAGGATATATAAGGGTATGAAATATTTAAAATTGAAATATGAACTTGAAAGATTTGAAATACGCAAGGATAAAATTGTGAATTACTCATCTGCATATCTTATGTTTTTGAGTAAAACTGAAATAAGGATTATGAACTTGTTTGGGTTAAAGTTAGTTTTCTCTGGCTCATTATCTTTTGAATAAACAAATAGGTGGTAGATTCAAATACAAGGAGTTTGCACCATACAGAATAAAATTAAAAGTAACAGTAATACTTTATTCAGTAACCCAAAGTAGAAACCATGGAACCATCAATGATTCTTTAATTCCTGAGCTATCGATGATTCTTTAATTTCTCTTAATCCTAATTTTCACCAAGTGCTGTCAGTTTTATCTTTTAAATAATCCTTCATTCCTTTGATCACTGCCATATTTCAGACATACCCTCATCATTGTCCATGTTATTATAGTGGTCTCTAAAACTGATCTCCTTGCTTACTTTTTTCTATCTGTCTGCTGTGACTAAAGTTTTTACTCTAAAATGCCAATCTGATCATATGATTTGCCTGCATCAAAATATTCATTGATTTCATCACACATGAAAGGAAATCCACATTGCTAAGTATGCTCTGACTTTTAGTTCTCTTTCTAAAAGTGGAAGTGTATTCCATTTACATTGGTGATTCCTAAATAAACCCTCCTTTGTGAATACACTGTTCCTTTTTCCTCTTCATTTCCCTACTCTTTTGCTTCATTAACCACTCTTTTTCTACTGACAGTTAGGCTTTCCTGACTCTTTTGCTCTTATTATCATTTCCGCAGAGTTTTGTTAGTGCTTTCCTTCCTGCTATAGTCTAATAATTTGTGTTTGACTTGCTCTTCTGTAAGGTCCTTTAGGCTGGCAGTTTTGATAAAATCATGGTATCACTACATCATTGTTATCAAGAAAGCATCTGAAATAATAGACACCATTTATTGAATGTATATGTATATATGACACTTGGTAAGAATTTAGCACATATAATCTGTACTCTTCACAACAACCCAATGAGGTAGGTGCTATTATGAGTATTCCTATTTTACAGAAGAGGAAACTAAGGGATTTTAATTTTAATAACATTTCCATGGTCTTACTGTTAAGAAGTAGCTGGGTAGAATTCTAAAGGCCTCTTCTCAATACTGTTCTGATGAGACCCACTGTGTTACCATTTCTCTGTATTGCTTGCATTCTAACAAGATAAGCCTTAGTCAGCAAAATGGATATGTAATTGTGAGAATTTAGAAATCACTAAACTGATTAAGGAACACTTTTTTTTTTAATGGAAAACATCTTCACACCCCTGAAATAAAAATACATTGTTAACTCCCCTACTTGCAAGCACAGTTGAGTGTCTATTTACCTTTTCTCCCACAATTTGGATAATAAGATAGTAAAGTTGCATATATTTTAAACAGCTTTATTGACATATAATTTATGCACAACAAATCACACTTAAAGTGTGCAATTTGATAAGTTTTAACATATGTATACAACCTTGGAATCATCATCACAAGATAATTAACATGTCCATCATCCCCCCTGCCTTTCCTATCCACCCTATCTTAGGCAACCAGTTATCTGCTATGGGTCATTATATATTACTTTACAAATTCTAGAGTTTCATATAAATTGAGTCATACAGTATGTTGTCTTCTGATCTAACTTCTTTCACTTAGCATGATGTTAAGAGTCATCCATGTCATTATGTATATCAGCAGTTCATTCTGCAGATGCATATTTTGAATTTTAGTTATTATAGAAAGTAAGTAATGTTTTTTCTTTGTTGTGTCTTACTTTAGATATATTTTACATGGGAATGATTGCACATTCTTTGAGCATAAAGTCCTTCCTGGGGCTTGTTCTGATATACTATGTGTAAGTTTTTTAATATTTAATGGAGATGTAAAAAAACTTACCTATGCTTATGCAAGGATTTAAATGCATTTTCACTTTCAGTGAATGGACTTTTCATTCAGTATTAAAAGTATGATGTAAAACCAAGCAGTTAAATACATTTAACTCACTTTAGGAGTGTAATCTTCTTTACCCTTCTCGGGGAATCTTGGGGGAAACCCTTCTGCTAGGTCTCACGTGGGAGGCGGATATCTCTGAAGTGGTTATCTCAGAACTTCATATTGACATTAGCTGTAGATACTAAGCTATAAAGTGCTAACCATCAATATGGTTTGAATGACTTGTTTTGACACTGCATAGGGACTCAATTTGAATAGGGAAAAAAAGGTGCCTCTCCCAGCATATCTCCAAGATAACATTTCAACCTTGCTATTTAAGGTTAGGAGGAAAAAAAATCTTTATTTAAGTCTGCTGTTATGAAAAAACAGAAGTGTTAACATGCATTATTAATTGTTACACTAATTTCACTGAACTCCTTTTTAAAAAAATTTCAGGTGCATATAACCCGTATATAGAGATAATTGAACAACCCAGACAGAGGGGAATGCGTTTTAGATACAAATGTGAAGGGCGATCAGCAGGCAGCATTCCAGGGGAGCACAGCACAGACAACAACCGAACATACCCTTCTATCCAGGTAATAGACCCTTCTTCTGTGTCTGTCTCTATTAGTTGCCTCATAGATCAGCTATAGCAATTATTTTTAAGGGCCAGTTTCTTCACAGTTATATCCACAGTTTTGTCTTTTTATTTTTTCCTCTTTTCCTTTTCTTTTCTTTTTTTTTTTGAGACGGAGTTTCACTGTTGTTTCCCAGACGGGAGTGCAATGGCGTGATCTTGGCTCACCGCAACCTCCGCCTTCTGGGTTCAAGCAATTCTCCTGCCTCAGCCTCCCAAGTAGCTGGGACTATAGGCGCGCACCACCATGCCCAGCTAATTTTTGTATTTTCAATAGAGACGGGGTTTCACCTTGTTGACCAGGATGGTCTCGATCTCTTGACCTCGTGATCAACCCGCCTCGGCCTTCCAAAGTGCTGGGATTATAGGTGTGAGCCACCATGCCCGGCCCCTCTTTCACTTTTTTAACAGATCTATATTAGATAGATGTCTAAGGACATTTCTTAAATATAGTATGGAGTCTTTCCCACTGCAGATAGTTATATGGTGCTTGTGTATTAACCTAAGTAGAGCGACTCATAATGTTTAGTGTACATTGACAGCTTTTGTATCATGTTCTCTTTCATGGAACACACAGCTAATAAGGAAAACACATTCTCTCCTTACAGAGGTGAGTGATATTATTCTGTAGATTAAACATGGATTTGAGAACTCAATCACAATTCTTCTTGGCTAGTCTTAGGACTAGAACATCTTTTTCTTCTTTTTCCTTACCTTTATTGCCTGTCTCTGATTCTCTGACTCGTTGACTGATTTGAAATAACACTTTTTAAATATGGTTTTTTTTGTATTAGCATAAATTTTGAAAAACTTTTGACTTTGGTAAACATACTAATAGTTATAAGATGTACTAGATTTATTTATTTTTATTTATTGAAACAGTTTCGCTCTTGTTGCCCAGGCTGGAATGCAATGGCATGATCTCGGCTCACTGCAACCTCTGCCTCCTGGGTTCAAGTGATTCTCCTGCCTCAGCCTAACGAGTAGCTGAGATTCCAGGCACCCACTACCATGCCCAGCTGATTTTTGTATTTTTTGGGAGAGTCGGGGTTTCACCATGTTGGCCAGGCTGATCTCGAACTCCTGACCTCAGTTGATCTACCCGTCTAGGCCTCCCAAAGTGCTTGGATTACAGGCGTGATGTACTAAATTTATATTTTCTATTTGTCAGCTATTTTTTTATTTGACTTTCAGTGAAGGGTTTATCCTTTAAATGCCAATTAAAAACTTTAATGGCAAAGTAGATTTTGAAGTGTTACTTTTATCAACAGATCTTAATTCACTGTTTTATAAGTAGATTATTTACAAAGTCTATTCTTTTGATGAACTTAAAGGGAATTGCTAATTATAGAATAAACTAATGGCAAGATTATATATTGAATTCCAGATTCCTATTTTTATCACATTTTAGGCAGTAATATGGATTTGGGTTATCTAAGTATTTTAAATGTTAAAATGGATGAGGTGCTAATAAAAAGGAAATAAGGAAATACTATTTGTCCAATTTTGGAGCCATTTTTAAACTATAATTCATCTTATCCTATGCATCTCTAAAATATTTCTAAGATCTGTATTTTTACAATTCCAGTAGGTCCTGAACACTTTGCAGCTTGAGTTTTGTATTTGCCTCCTTAGAGTCTTGAGCAATTACCTTCTCTTTCATCCAGAAAGAAATGTAATACCTTCTGGTTACTGTTCAAATTCTATTTAAATTCAAAATTACAGATTTTAGTGGCCGCTACCTGGTAAGCTACCCATTCTTACTTTACCTTGTTCCTTTGTGGTATGCTGGTTTTTATATGCCCTGCTTTGTTCTTACAAATTTACTAGCTTTCAAACTAAGCATTAGTTTCTATCCTTCCTTTTCCATGTTAAACTCTCCTTTTTACTCTGTTCTGTATGTACTTTCTATGTGAAATTTGATGTTGTTAAACTAAATTTGATTTATTGCCTATTCTAGAGTGAACTCTTGGGGTATGCTTACTGAACAAATATTTTTATGAAGTGGAATGTCACATATTAAGTAAAATGATCATTTTATATGCTATCCTTTCCAGTGTGGCTTAAATATATTTTCAAGGAATGTTTATGGCATGACAGTACATTTAAGAGCTGGGCATTCAGTAACTTAACATCTGTTTTCTCATGTCTATGATAAAATTTGGGTATAGTTTATTTGTTTTGAAAGGAAAATAAGCATAGTCAAATGATTTGACCAATTGAAATTAGGGCAGAAAATATGTCAATGAACTGAGAGGTAAGTTTTTCTCTACTGGTATTCTCTGGAAAGTTTCATCAGTTGGACTTTATTTATCAGGTGTTGATTACATGATAATTAATGTAAATTGAACTCTCATTTAGATCTGTTTATAATGTGATCCATTTGGATCATATATTTAATTTCCCCCTTTTTTCAGATTATGAACTATTATGGAAAAGGAAAAGTGAGAATTACATTAGTAACGAAGAATGACCCATATAAACCTCATCCTCATGATTTAGTTGGAAAAGACTGCAGAGACGGCTACTATGAAGCAGAATTTGGGCAAGAACGCAGACCTTTGTTGTAAGTATACAGTTACAGACATCTTCAGAAACAAGATAAGGCATAGGATGCTCTGTTTCTTCTCCATGACAATTTGTTACTTTTAAGCAGAATAATTTTCTCATTCTAATTCTGTTTACTATGTTTTACATCTTCTTACTATTTGCATTACAACTACCCTTTCGTTCTTCATTTGTAGACACATCTTATGATGATGATTAGCAGGAAGACATTTTTGTAGTTATTTAAAGTAAACATTAAACTTATTGTATACTGTGATTTCCTTTCTTGGGGTGAACAGTTTTTTAAATAATTTTTTACTATCTTTTCATTTATAGTTATCTTTATTATTATTGTTGTTATTATTTTGAGACAGGGTCTTACTCTGTTACCCAGGCTGGAGTACAGTGGCATGATCTCGGCGTATTGCAACCTTTACCTCTAGGCTCAAGCAATCCTTTAGCCTCAGCCTCCTGAGTAGCTGAGACTACAGGATGTACCACCATGCCGAGCTAATTTTTGTATTTTTCGTAGAGATTGGATTTTGCCGTGTTGCCCAGGCTGGTCTTGAACTCCTAGACTCAAGCAGTCTGCCCACCTTGGCCTCCCATAGTGCTTGGGATTATAGGTGTGAGCCACCATGCCACACCCATTTATAGTTAATATAAAAATGGCTGGATGTGGGAGAAATCAACTGGAAAACTCTACAATTATTATTTAGAAAGTAGCAGGTTATAGAATTAACATACAGCAATAGTTCTAAGAGAAAAATAATTATGTAATAGTTTATGATCGTGAGGCTACCAGAAGGTGGGCCCATTCATCATGTTAGTGAGAATGTAAATTAATGAAATCTGTTAGGCAATTTAACTACATAGCAAAAGCCTGAAAAATATGAATGCCTCTTGAGCCCGCAATTCCACTTCTAGTTTAGCTTCAGAAAATAAATAAGCCTATTCAGACATTTCACTCTAGTGCTGTTCATTGCAGTTCTCTTTGTAATGGCAAAAAGCTAGAAGCAATCCAAATAGTAAAGGGGATTAACTAAATAAACTGGTACATTCATCCAGTGTACTCCTGTACAGCCTTAAAAATCATATTGCAAATATGTCTACTGATATGTAAAGACAATCACAATATATTAGATACATAGGGTTTTTTGCTTTGGTTTTTTTTTGTTTTTGAGACGGAGTCTTATTCTGTTGCCCTAGCTGTAGTACAGTGGTGCAATCTCGGCTCACTACAATCTCCATCTCCCAGGTTCAAGCAATTCTTCTGCCTTTGCTTCCCAATTTAGCTAGGATTACAGGTGTGTGCCACCATGCCCAGATAATTTTTTGGTATTTTTAGTAGAGACGGTTTCATCATGTTGGCTGGGCTGGTCTCAAACTTCTGACCTCTAGTGATCCACCTGCCTCAGCCTCCCAAAGTGCTGGGGTTACAAGCGTGAGCCACCGCAGCTTGCCAGATAAATAGGTTTTAAAACAATATGTGAAGAATAATCTTATGTTTATAAATATAAATTTATATATATACATGATAGTACATATGTTAGTACTAAAGTATTAATAGTAGTTGTCTGGGTGGGTAAGATTGTAGGGTTTTATGTTTGTCTTTTACCTTATTTTATAATTCATTTTTGTAATGAACATGTATTGGCTTTTGGGGGAAAATGAACTAGTTACAATAAAAAAGAGATTCATAGTCCCACATATATTAGTAATAACCATTTAGAAAAAAAATGCCTTAAATGCTCCTCTTAACAATAATAACACAAAACATACACACTTGGCAAATATTTGTCTATATTACTTGACCTCTCAATAACATTTTACATTGTGATCACTTCTTACTTGAAACATTTTTATTCTTTACTTCTGTGAGAATAAACTTCCGTTTTACTTCTTGCTTTTCTGGCTGTCCTTTCTTAGTTCCGGGCAGTTAAATTTTTGAACCACCTCACTTACTGTCCTAATAATGCTCTTTAGGGCTGTTCCACCTCTTTCCCCAATTTAGGATCCCATTAAGGATCACACACTAGAGGTAGCATTATATTTAACATGAATAGTGTTTTCATGTTAACGTGAAACATTTTGGGCAAGAAACCTACAGAAGCAATGCGGTATAATTCTTAAAATATCCCTTCAGTTTTTTACATTCTTGGGTATATTAATTGGCATTCTGTTATAAAGAAGAACTTTCCCTTCTTCACTATCTCCATTTAAAAAGTATCACTGTCAACTCATGGAGTCTTGTATTTAATGTATTATAGTTATTCTTTTGGTTTTCAAATTGACCCAGATTTGAGTAATGCATGCCTCTTCAAACTGTCTTCTGTATTTTTTTGATATGTCCTCATCTTTCTTAGAGCACTTTTTTACTTTCTGACAAAACAAAATGTTCAAGGCTTGTGCTTTTCTTTTTTCTTTCTTTCTTCCTTTTTTTTTTTTTTTTTTTTTTTTGAGACAATCTTGCTCTGTCGCCCAGGCTGGAGTGCAGTGGTGTGATCTCGCCTCACTTGCAACCTCCCTCTTTTTGGGTTCAAGCGATTCTTGTGCCTTAGCCTCCCAAGTAGCTGGGACTATAGTCATGCATGACCACACCCAGGTAACTTTAGTATTTTTAGTAGAAATGGGGTTTCTTCGTGTTGGCCAGGCTGATCTCAAACTCCTGACCTCAAATGATCTGCCTGCCTTGGCCTTCCAAAGTGCTGGGATTACAGGAGTGAGCCATGGCACCTGGCCAACTTGTGCATTGCTTGCTCCAGCCCTGAAGTCATCAATTTTGTTTTTTGTTTTTTGGGAGTTTCAGGCTGGAGTGCAATGGCGTGATCTCGGCTCACTGCAACCTCCGCCTCCTGGGTTCAAGCATTTCTCCTGTCTCAGCCCTCTGAGTAGCTGGGATTACAGGCATCTGCCACCATTCCCAGCTAATTTTGTATTTTTTACTAGAGGTGGGGTTTCTCCATGTTGGCCAGGCTGGTCTCAAACTCCCAACCTTAAATAATCCACCTACCTCGGCCTCCCAAAGTGCTGACATTACAGACGTAAGCCACCGTGCCCGGCCGAAGTCATCAGTTTTTCCAGATTCTTGGTTCCTTTTAGTAGGGAATGGTATTTAGTCTGATTGCCTTCTTAACATATTCTCTTAAATGTCTCAAAAGTACCATAAGCAGCCAGGCACAGTGGCCCATGCCTGTAGTTGCAGCTACTCAAGAGGCTGAAGCACAAGGATTGTTTGAGCCCAGGAGTTTGAGTCCAGCCTGGGCAACATAGTGAGACCCTATCTCTTTAAAAAAAAAAAAGCACCTCAAATAGAATATGCCCCAAACCATGATTTTACTGTGATCATACCTCTTTCCCCTCAGAATTGGTCTTCTTCCAGTGTCCCGTGTGTTGGTGATTGCTATAAAAGCCCTATAGCTGTCATCTCTGACATTCCTTCTCCAGATGTGCATGTTGAATCGACTAACAGATACCTTCTAAAGTGGTTTTGAATCTATCTACTTCACTCAGTGAAATTTATCACCACGACACTACCACTACAGTCTAAACTGGGGCTGCTGGAATAACCTCCTGACTAGTCTTGTATCAACTCATTTTGTACTTTTTCCCCCTCAATCTTTCTTCACGTTAGCCAGAGTGATCTTTTAAAATACAAATGGAATTGTTTCTCCCTTGCTTAAAACATTTTAATGGGTTTATTTGGCTCTTGGAACAAAGACAGCATTCCTTCTATATAGCCTATAAGGCCCACATGACCCACCTGTATTTCTAGCCTTCTATTAAACTCCGCTTTCCTTAATTTTTACACTCAACTCACAAAACCTTCCTTTAGTTTCCTCTGCTTACAATGCTCTTCTATAGGGGTCTTTGTGTGGTCTGTTCCTTTTGCCTGAAGTCTCTTTCTTCTAGTCCATCATAGGCTGCATAATATCATGTATACCTCCTTCATAAAACTGGTTATGATTTCAGTTTAGCATTTATGTATTGTGATTATTTAATGTATATCTGCTTCACTAGACCAAAGACTACTAGCTTTTTTCTATAAAGGGCTAGATAGTAAATATTTGGGGTTTTGCAGGCTATATGGTCTCTGTTGCTCAACTCTGCTATTGTAGCTTGAAAGCAGCCATATAGATAATATATAAACATCAATAGGGCTGTGTTCCAGTAAAACTTTATTTGCAAATACAGACAAGATGCTGGGTTTGGTCCATGAGTTATAGTTTGCCAACCCTTCCACTAGATTGTAAGCCTCTTGAGGAGAGAGATTGTATATCCCCATTACTTTCCAGAGTTTTTGGTATACAGTAGGAACCCCAAAACTTATTGAATGTCTGTGAATGAATGAGTGAATAATTGATTCAAACAGTCTCTGTGATCCTTAATTTCTCATGTCAGAATTTCAAAAATTACCACCGCCTCTAATATTTTGTGAACAGCAGTCAAATACAAGATTATTCAGATGAAACAAAATGAAGTCATATAAATATATTAATATGAAGAAGTCTGTAAAATCTTTTGCCAAAGAAAAAAAGTCAAACCAAGAATCTTTCAAAGAAGTGGAATACTTTTGAGTAAGAGGATTATAACTGCAAGATTTCAAGAAAGGACTAAGAATTCAAGATTTAGCCAACCGAGCACAGTGTCTCATGCCTGTTATCCTAGCACTTTGGGAGGCTGAGGCAGGCAGATTGCTTGAGTCCAGGAGCTTGAAACCAGCCTGGGCAACATGGTGAAACGCTGACTCTACAAAAATACAAAAATGTACCAGGTGGGGTGGCATGTATCTGTAGTCCAGCTACTCAAGAGGCTGAGGTGGGAGGATCACCTGAGCCGGAGAGGCGGGGGTTGCAGTAAGTCAATATTGTGCCACTGCGCTCCAGCCTGGGTGGCAGAGTGAGATCATCTTGAAAAAAAAATTTTTTTTAAGATTTATTTTTGTAGTTATTGGAGGCAGAGGAAGGAAATGTGAAATATATTTTAGGTGCTAGCAAAATTGTAAGCGTATTGACTGTGAAGAGCATCAGCATAAGACAGCATGAGTGTGGAGACAGGCAAAGTAGCCTCTGGTTTCAAGTGCCATGTGAAGTTTGAACAAATAGTAATGTTATTATAATTGAGTTTTGCTTCCTTATTCACACCCACCTGATTTTACTGATGTCATGGTTTTTCCATGTGGGAACAAGTATGACTGGTGGTGGTGGGGGAGTTCCCCCCACCACTGTCTATGCTACAAATATGCAAATTAGTAATATTTGTAGCTATTGGGAAGTTTTTCATAAATGACACTTTGAAACTTGTTAAATATTATTGTTAGCATTAAACTTTCTAATAAAAAACACACCAGTAATTCTTTGTGATGAATAGCTGTGATAACTTTGTATAATATGGCACAAAACATATTCTACTGCTACTAACAGTGAATTCAGGGCTCAAAAATCACATTTCTGCAGAGCTAGGCAAGCAGCATAAATGAGTGGTGTGAATCAAGTGTAGGAGGACTAACAGGCACTGTAGCAAACTGAAGAGCCCTGCATAAATGGGTCTCAGTCCTCAGCCTATGTTTTCTGTGCCAGCCTAGTGTTTCCAGGCCTTTAAAATATTCAAGAGAAACCAGAAATCCAGATGTTCATATGTAGTTTTCTGATTTCTAAATGTAGATAATCTGTGCAGATTTTTAAAAATATAGGCAACACTCTTGTGGGCCTAGCAAAACATACCTGTGGGCTTCAACCTGTGGACTTCTTTTTACAGCTTTTGCTTTACATTATCAAACATACAGATTTTATTGATTTGATTCTGAATTTGAGAGGTAAATTTTACCATTATGGTATTGCTTTACTGTTAATCTATACTTTGGTATGTTTGACATAGGCATATTAGTAAGATGTAATTGTGAAACACTGTATGTAAAAATGATATATACTATTTTTCTTTTAACAGTTCTCTTAGAAATATAACCCTACTTCTTTTTTTTGAGATGAAGTTTTGCTCTTGTCCAGGCTGGAGTGCAATGACATGATCTCAGCTCAATTCTCCTGCCTCATCCTTCCAAGTATCTGGGATTACAGGCTTGTGCCACTACACCCAGCTAATTTTGCATTTTCAGTAGAGACAGGATTTCTCCATGTTGGTCAGGCTGGTCTCAAGCTCCTGACCTCAGGTGATCTGCCTGTCTTGGCCTCCCAAAGTGCTGGGATTACAGGTGTGAACCACCATGCCCTGACATATAACCCCACTTCTTACCCTCTCATCTTTATCAGAGCAATTTGAAGCACATTCATGCTTTGGTATGTCCAGCTGACAGCATGATAACTTCAGTATTGCTATACATTTGATTTTTGCAATATTCCATGTGTTTATAATGCAGTTTTGAATATTCTGGTTTTTTTCCTGCTAGTTTCCAAAATTTGGGTATTCGATGTGTAAAGAAAAAAGAAGTAAAAGAAGCTGTTATTTCAAGAATAAAGGCAGGAATCAATCCATTCAATGGTAAGTATGTTTGATATAGTCATTTCTATTTATTTGGGTATTGATTTCAGTCTATCTATATATATGGTTTTTTTGATTGATTGTTTTTGAGATGCAGTTTTGCTCTTGTCGCCCAGGCTGGAGTGAAATGGCACAATCTCGGCTCACTGCAACCTCCGCCTCCCAGGTTCAAGAGATTCTCCTGCCTCAGTCTCCCATGTAGCTGGGATTACAGGCACCCACCATTATACCCAGCTAATTTTTGTATATTTAGTAGAGACGGGGTTTCACCATGTTAGCCAGGCTGGTCTCGAACTCCTGACCTCAGGTGATCTACCCACCTCAGCATCCCAAAGTGCAAGATTACAGGTGTGAATCATCATGCCTGGCTATTTATATCTCAAACCTGTGTTTTAAGTTCTGTGTTTACTTTTCTACTTGTTGACTTATACCTCTACCTGAGGAATGAAGTATACTATTTAAAATAGCTTTTTCACAGTTGTTGAAAAAAATCTTATGCACACAGAGATTTCTGGTATTGTTGGAAAGTGTCATTGTTTTCTACAACAAAACTTCAAAATGTTCTGATTCTTTTTGAATGTGGCCTTCCTTATGCCACTTCCAGCAGACATATACTCTCCTTTTGAGTGTTAAATAGGCACTGTTTATTGGAGTGCATTTAGCTCAAGGGCATATTCACCAGTAAGTGATTGGGATTAAGTAATCCCAATGTGGAAGAAGAAGCATAGAAATAATAGAAATCATACAAAGTATTTTCATAGTATATTTGTATATATGGCTAGAGAACTACTGCTTAGTTGATTTTATTGGGGGTAGCATTTATTAAGTATTTATATTTATGGTACTATCTGCCTCATGTTATAAGTATAAATGCTTAATGTTACCTGACTGTTACTTGTAAGCACTGTATTATTTGAAGAGATAAGTACTACCACGCTAGATGGTGGCATCCTATACTTACAGTAGCCTCCCTTCTAAAGTCATCTGCAGCTACTTAAATATGCAAAAGTCAGGAATTAAATGACTATAACATTTTCAAAGAATAAATTTCCTGGTCATATTTAAGACTTCCTTATACTGTTAGTTTGCATTTTTCCTGGATGTATAAAAATAATTTAAGAGATATGTTGATAATTTAAGGAATATATTCACAGAAAAGTACTATTTGATGGACCATAAGATCTGTATCTCTTTTCTCTAGGTTTTCATTTTCATACTACTTAGTGTAAAACTGAAAACCAAAGTCCCCTTCTTCCCTTCCCTTCCAGTCTTACCAGGGAGACTGCTATTAAGTTTGATATATATTTTTCTAGAATTGTTTTTATACATGTGTAGTTATATGTAGACATATATATTTTATATAAAAGGAATCATGCTATACATCCTATTCTACTGCTTTATTTTTTTTCCACTCAGTAATATACCTTAAACTTTCCATGTCAATACTTAAAAATATGGTTTTTTTTTTAACAGAATATTTTATTGTTTGGGTAGAAAAGAATTTGCTTATTTAGTTTTTTTTTTTTTTTGAGATGGAGTTTGGCTCTGTCATTCAGGCTGGAGTGCAGTGGTGCAATCTCGACTCATTGTGACCTCCACCTCCCTGGTTCAAGCAATTCTCCTGCCTCAGCCTCCCAAATAGCTGGGATTATAGGCACTTGCCATCACACCTGGCTAATTTTTGTATATTTAGTAGAGACGAGGTTTCACCATGTTGGTGAACTCCTGACCTCGTGATCTGCCCACCTCAGTCTCTCAAAGCGCTGGGATTGCAGGTGTGAGCCACTGCACCTGGGTTTTTTGGTTTTTTTTTTTTTTTTAAGGTAGTCTTACTCTGTTGCCCAGGATGGAGTGCAGTGATGTGATCACAGCTCACTGCAGCGTTGACATTCTGGGCTTAAGAGTGATCATCCCACCTCAGCCTCCCTAGCAGCTGGGACAACAGGCATGCCACCATACCCAGCTTGTTTTGTACTTTTTTTAGAAACAGGGTCTTGCCATGTTGCCCAGGCTGGTCTCAAACTCCTGAGCTCAGTAATCCACTTGCCTCGGCCTCCTAAAGTGCTCGATTACAGACATAAGCCACTGTACTCAGCTTATTTAGCCTTCTATTAATTGTTCTAAAAACATTTATGTTGTTTTCATTTGGTTTTTAAAGCTCTACTGAATATATGCTTTGAGCTCTTGTGTGATTATTTTCCGAGGATAAATTTTTGAAAGTGGCAAATTTCTAGGTCAAGAGTATGCTCATTTAAAATTGTGATTTATTGCCAAATTAATAGGCTAGACTTTCAAATCAAAGAGGCCATGTAAGTCTAGATGCAATGTAAAACAAGGAAATTATAAGTGATGGCTATCGTTTATTAAGCACTTCTTGTATGTCAGGGAGTACTTTATGTACACTATTTTATTTCATCATGAAAACTAACTAAACGTTAGTGCTTTATGTACACTATTTTATTTAATCATGGAAACAATTCTGCTTTATGGAAGAGAATACCAAGGCTTTTGTTATATAACTGTCCCAAGTCATGCAGCAAATATAAGTGGCAGACCTGGAATTTATATGCAGGTTCCCTGACTCCAGTGGTAAAGGCATTAAAAAGAAAGACGCTATCTGTGGAATTTTTTTCTTAGTTTTGGCAGTTCAGAATCAGGCATGATGTTTTTTGAGATGCCCAGGCTGGAATACAGTGACGCGATCACAGCTCACTGCAGCCTTGACCTCCCAGGTTCAGGTGATTCTCCCACTTCAGTATCCCAGGTAGCTGGGACTACAGGTATGCACCACCATGGTGCAATCTCGGCTTGCTGTAACCTCCACCTCCTGGGTTCAAGCCATTCTCGTGCAACCTCCACCTCCTGAGTTCAAGAGATTTTCATGCCTCAGCCTCTCGAGTAGCTGGAATTACAGACGTGTACCACTATATCCGGCTAATTTTTGTGTTTTTAGTAGACACAGGGTTTCACCATATCAGCCAGGCTGGCCTCAAACTCCCGACCTCAAGTGATCTGCCCACCTCAGCCTCCCGAAGTGTTGGGATGACAGGTGTTAGCCACCATACCCGGCCACAGTTTTTATGTTTTTGTGGAGACAGGTTTTGCCATATCCCCCAGGCTGGTTTCAAATTCCTGGGCTCTAGTGATCCGCCTGCCTCAGCCTCCCAAAGTGCTAGGATTATAGGCATGAGCTCCTGGGCCCAACTCAGGCATGATATTAATAGTGAATATTCATAATAACACTAAAAATAGTTCCTGGTAGATAGTAAGTGCTTTATATACTTTATTTCATTTAATCCTTATAACAACCAATTAGATAGGTACTATTATTAACTCCATTTTATAAATAAAATGGAAGCATAGAAAAGTTAAGTAGGCCAGGAATGGTGGCTCATGCCTGTAATTCCAGCACTTTGGGAGGCCAAGGTGGAAAGGATTACTTGAGTCCAGGAGTTTGAGACCAGCCTGCGCAACATGGTGAAACTCCATCTCTACAAATTTTTTTTTTTGATTGACCAGGTGCAGTGGTGCGCAACTGTGGTCTTAGCTACTCAGGATGCCGAGGAAGGAAAATTACTTCAGCCTAGGAGGTCAAGGCTGCAGTGAATGGTGTTCGCACCATTGCACTTCGGCCTGGGCTACAGAACAAGACCTTATCTCTAAGAAAAAACAGGAAAGTAATTTGTTCAAGGTTGTATAGCTGCTGAGTGATTGAGCTAGGATTTGAACACAAGTAGCCAAACTCTAAAGTCATGGTCTTAACAACTCTGCCATGCTGCCTGGATGAATATTGATTTGGGGAAGGAACAATTCTTCCAGTTAATCCTTCCCACTATCTGTGTTTTCCATTGTTGTGTACTTGTTTTTTTAAACATTCATTCCTTCCCTGAGCTCTTGAGTAGTGGTTCTCTCTCTCTTTTTTCTTTGAAACAGAGTCTCTGTCACCCAGGCTGGAGTTCATTGATGTGATCTCAGCTCACTGCAGCCTCTGCCTCCCAGGTTCAAGCAATTCTTCTTCCTCGGCTTCCTGAGTTTCTGGGACTACAGGCATGTGCTGCCATGCCCAGCTAATTTTTGTAGTTTTTAGTAGAAACAGGGTTTTACCATGTTGGCCAGGATAGTCGATCTCCTGACCTCATGATTCGCTCGCCTCAGCCTCCCAAAGTGCTGGGATTACAGGCATGAGCCACTGTGCCCGGCCGTGGTTCTCAATTTGAATGTGCATAGGAATATCTTAGTACTTGTTAAAAACATAGATTTCAGGCCACACTTCCACTAATTTGATAGGGCTGGTATGGATCCTGGGAATCTGCATTTTAAAAAATATTTTTAAAATAATAACTTATCAGAGTCACCTGGCACCAAAGTATGTTATCTGTTCAGGTCTGCAGCAGCCCCAGTTCTTGCCTCCTCAGAAGACAAAGGAGAGACTGAGGCAAGTTTTAGAGCAGGAGTGAAAGTTTATTAAAAAGCTTTAGAGCAGGAAGGAAAGGAAGAAAAGTACATTTGGAAGAGGGCCAAGCAGGTCACTTGAAAGACAGGTGTGCTGGGAATCTGCATTTTAACAAACATCTAGATCAGTATTTCTTAATTCTTTGACCATGACCCACAGTAAGAAATAGATTTTATTTTTCAGCTCAATACATTCACAGGCACATACACCACACACTTACAACAACAATACCCTATGTATTAGTCCGTTTTCACTCTGCTTATTAAGACATACTTGAGACTGGGAAGAAAAAGAGGTTTAATTAGACTTACAGTTCCACATTGCTGGGGAGGCCTCAGAATCATGGCAGGAGACCAAAGGCACTTCTTACATGGCAGTGGCAAGAGAAAATGAGAAGGATGGTTTTATCAGGGGTTTCCGCTTTTGCATCCTTCTCATTTTCTCTAAAACTGCAGCACGTGCCTGTAGTTCCAGATACTCAGGAGGCTGAATATTCACTTATTCACTACCACAAGAGCAGTATGGGGGAACCACCCCCATGATTCAA